ACCACTCCTTTTCCTATGAATAAAGAAACAGGGTCAGAGAGGTGAAGTAGCTTGTCAGTCTCCTTGGCTTTGCTAATGCAGAAACTTGCTTGGCTCTATCTACTGGAATTAACAGGTTCTAAGTTTCTGCCTCTTATGAATTGTTCTCATATTACTTCCTCAACACTTTCAATGTGTCAGGTGCTGGTAATAAATTGAAATGGAGGCCGGGCGTGGTGGCTCACACCTGTAATCCAAGCACTTTGGAGGCCAAGGCAGGCGGATCACGTGAGGTCGGGAGTTCAAGACCAGCCTGACCAACACGGTGAAACCCTGTCTTTAAAAAAAAAAAAAAAAAAGTTGAAATGGGGATGGTTTAGTCAGGACTCTGTCCATTTCATAAAAAGAGAAGACAACTCAAACCGAATAAGCAAAAAGCAAATCTATTGGTTTGCAAAAGAGCCCGGGGGAGCTTCAGGCATGGCCAGATCAAGAAGATAACAATGTCTTTAGGATTTTTTAGTCCCCTGCATAGATTCCATTCTCAGATGAGCACTCCTTGTGGTAGCAAGAGGCTGCCAATAATGCCAGCCTTACCATCTTACAGTTCTAAATTCAATGGATTAAAAAGGAAATTACCCCATCCCCATTAGCTCTATTTGTATAAAACTGACTTGGCTTGGATCATATACTCACTCCATATCCAACTACCCTGACCAAGGGGCTGTAGTGCTCTGGTCAGTCTGAGTTACTTGCTCAGTCCTGGAGCCAGGGGTAGTGAACAGACAGAAAGTGAAGGAAGGTTGGAAACTCACAGGGCAATGAATATTCCCTTATCAAAAGAGTGAAGATGGATGCTGGGCAGACAAAAGCAATGGATGTCCACAACAGTGGGACTCCAAGAGCATAAAGGAGGGCCACTGAACTAATAAAGCAAGGGACCAATTTATTAATTTATGATTTTTTTTTTCTTGAAATGGATCTCACTCTTGTTCCCCAGGCTAAAGTGCAGTGGCGTGATCTCGGCTCACTGCAACCTCTGCCTCCCCGGGTTCAAGCAATTCTCCTGCCTCAGCCTCCTGTGTTTACTCTGGGAAGAACAAATACAGGGAGACAACACGTCTTTGTCAGAAGTGGCACGCTAGTGGATAACCCTTTCTCTGTTGTAGGGAGGGGCCTATTCAAAGGCTGAGGATCAGTCACCTGGAACTCAAGCATACTCCTTTCAGAAACTCATATCCCTCTTGCACATTATCCTCTGGGCTTACATGGCATGGGAAAGGGGTCGTTTCCCAAAGTAAAAGTGAAGTGCTATTCTCAGAGGGGAAAAAATTAACACTAGGTAGGCTATCGTACGCTATGTGGACATGCATTCCTCAACATGAACAATCTTAATACCTTCAATCAACATAATCTCCCCTAAAGGGAGATAACATAAAATAATTTCTAGTTTTAAGTCTAAGATTTCTGGGTGATGCTCATCTTTCTCTAGTTCTTAACCCCATCTTGATAATCTGCAATTTATGGATTTCCTGATATATTTAACCATCATCAACACAATCATACACATCAGTGAGGGGATACTGCCATCAAAATGGCTCAGCTCCAAGGGAGGGGAAATCCAATTGGATTAACTTGGACCATCCTCAAACTTCAGCCAGAATGTGTTAGCGCAGAATACTGTAATGAATAAAGTGAGGGAGAAATAAAATAAGACGAATGAAGAGATATGGGGGCAGAGGCTGCAGATCTTACTTTTCCAACAGGTTATGGGGCTATAGCCACTATTTATCTCTTCCTTTTTGGCTATACTTTTTTGTCTAATTCAATCAAGGATTTTTGAGTAACAGGGTAACTCAAACCTTCATTCCTGAGATATCTGGAGGATTGGGATTCTCTAATCTTCTGAACGCAATATCAGCATTCTATAGGTAAGTCTTTTCTGATTAATACCATCTCTCACAAGAGACCTTAGTAATGCTACAAATTCAACCAGCATTGTAATTTCACAATTTGAAGAATCTCCAAGTACTAGTTTGGATTTAAGCACGGATTCACTTATCCTAGATATAAAATAGCCCTATATTTTACTCTATGCCCGCAGGTCAGTTTCTGGGTTTGAGCTGATGCCCTTCACTTTAAAAATAGTTAATGGAGCCAGGCTTGGTGGCGTATGCCTGTAATTCAGCACTTTGGGAGTCCAAGGTGGGCGGATCACCCGAGGTCAGGAGTTTTGAGACCAGCCAACATGGTGAAACCCTGTTTCTACTAAAAATACAAAAATTTGCTGGGCATGATGGTACATGACTGTAATCCCAGCTACTTGGGAGGCTGAGGCAGGAGAATCGCTTGAACCAGGGAGGTGGAGGTTGTAGTGAGCCAAGATCATGCCATTGTACCCTAGCCTGGGTGTCGAAGTGAGACTCTATCTCCAAAAATAAAAAAAAAATAACTAATGCAATCAAAGTAACCATTCCAACTCAATGGTCTTGGCCTGCTTTATCCACTTTTATTTTTTTGAGACAGTCTCGTTGTTGCCTAGGCTGGAGTGTAGTGGCACAATCTCAGCTCACTGCAAACTCTGCACCCCAGGTTCAAGCGTTTCTTCTGCTTCAGCCTCCTGAGTAGTTGGGATTACAAGCATCCACCACCATGCCCGGCTAATTTTTTTTTGTTTTTGAGATGAAGTCTTGTGCTGTCGCCCAGGCTGGAGTGCAATGTTGCAATCTTGGCTCACTACAATCTCTGCCTCCTGGGTTAAAGCAATTCTCCCTCTTCAGCCTCCTGAGTAGCTGAGATTACAGGTGCCCGCCATCATGCCCTGCTAATTTTTGTAGACACGGGGTTTCACCATGTTGCCCAGGCTGGTCTTGAACTCCTGACCTAAGATGATCTGCCCACCTCAGCCTCTCAAGGTGGTGGGATTACAGGCATGAGCCACTGGGCCCCACCTATCCACTTTAAATTGTCCTACTGTCAACAGTTACCTGGTTCTCCAAATTTTACTCGCAATAGGTACATGATTCCAAATGACAAGAAGGGATATTGCTGTTTTGCTATCTTAACTGGTAGATTTATCCTCCCAGGAACACATGAAAGAGTTACTGGTGCCATTAACACAGCACAAGAGTCAATTCCAGATCCTCTGTATGTTCCTGTGGGTTAGAAGCCTACAATTTAACTCTCTGGCACCAATTTCTGTAATTAGTCATTTGGTCACAAGCAACCCATTTTGGCTGATAAAAAGGAAACTTATCATAAGGAGGCTATACGATAGTTTATACAATTAAAGGAAAACCCTGACAACCAGGAATAGAGAATAGGAGCCAGGGTACTATGGACATCTCCTTTCATAAACTTTTCCATGTTTTCTTTGGAACACTACCATCAGAATGACTCAACTCTGGTCACTTTGTTTATGGTCACCTCTTAAGAATCAAAGTCCTGGTGGGAAATTTGATAGGATGAGCTTGAACTGCTCAAACCTCAGCCAGGGGGCATGAGGCCAGAGTACAATAATCTACATTTCCACTGAATGGAAAGGAGTAGCTTTCTAAAGAGTTAAGTGGGGATCTATCATTAAAGGAAAGGGGAAGTAATTTTTGACAAGCCAAACAATGGATGCTCACTATACCAATATTTACATGACGGAGAGAAGGACCTACAATAAAGGAGTAGCCAGCAAGTTGAAAAGAAAATGAAGTATAAACAGTACTTAAGGGAAGAGTATTTCGAGAAGCTGGTGGGAGTTAGCTGTGCTGCTGAAAATTCAGATAAGATGCATGTGTAATGGATTTAGCAATTAAAAGCTCACTATTGACCTTAATTGCAGTGACATTGGAATAACTGATTTTTAAAAAGATGCGACTTTCCTTCTGTTTTCTGCCTAATGTGGATGGTGCAATAGTCTTAGTAGATTAACATCAGTCAAGAACTAGAAACATTTTTGACGAACCTTAAAACCGTAAAATTCTGATAATCTAAATAAAATTATTTGAAGGAGACATGCTTAAAAAAAAATCAAAGAACAATTACTGAGCTCTGAGTTTCTCAAACAAGTAAAGGTGTAGCAATCTGTCAACTTGGGTAATGAATGATTAATATATTTTAATATTTACTAACATAAAAGTGGGTATTGTTAGATTATTAACAATTTTTTTTCTTTTGAGATGGAGTTTCACTCTTGTTACCCAGGCTGCAGTGCAATGGCACCATCTTGGCTCACCACAACCTCTGCCTCCTGGCAATTCTCCTGCCTCAGCTTCCTGAGTAGCTGGGATTATAGGCAGGCATCACCGTGCCCAGCTAATTTTTTGTATTTTTAGTAGAGACAGGGTTTCATGTTGACCAGGATGGTCTCGATCTGTTGACCTCATGATCCACCTGCCTCGGCCTCCCAAAGTGCTGGGATTACAGGCGTGAGCCACCGCGCCCGGCCCCTTCAGGCTCAGTGTTAAATAACTTGCTAAGGACAAACAGTAAGCACTAAATTTAAAAAATTCTTTATTTAAATAAAGTTTAAAAGTAATGTGGGTAGTGTAAAATACAGAAATGTATAAGGCTGAAAGTCTCATGTAACCTACACTGTTCAAAGAAAGCCACGAATAGACTTTTCTATGCATTTATAAACATAAGCACACACATTTTTAAAATGAGTTCATACTATACGCTTTTCTATCAATAGGTTGTCTCACCTAATGTATCATGGCCATTTTTCCATACACTATGAATGTACTTTATTCGTTTTAATAAATGTAAGATTTTCCTACATGGATGAACCATACCTTAGCCTATCCTTTAATGGCATTTAGGTCTTCTATTACTTTCTACCATGTTATTTTTATGCTTCTGTGGTATCTTAAATATTCTCTCAGTTCCTGTTTCATTTTGTCTTCCACTTTGGAAAATAATTTAAGTGACCATGACTTCTAGCTTAATAAATACTTGGATCTGTCAAGTTTCAATGTTGGTAGATATACTAATGTGGATTCAGTTTCAAGTAAGAGAAACCCAACTCAAAGTAACTTAAGCAAAAAAGGGTATTTATTGGTTCACATAACTGAAAAGTCCAGGGGATACTAGCTTCAGGCACGGTTGGATCCAGGGGCACAAACGTTGTCATCAGGATTCAAGTCTCTCCATTATTTTGGCTCTGCTTTCCCCTGCACTGGCTTCGTTCTCTACATGGTAGGCCCTGTTGGTTTGAGGTTTTCATCCCACAAAGCTAAAGCACCTCAGTAAAGAGAGCTTCTCCTCCACAGTTCAGATGGATTTGCTGATTGATGAGGTCTCAATTACATGTCCATCCACAAAGCTCACTCAAGGTTGGGTCAAACTGTCCAAACCACACAGACTAAAAACAGGAAGAGGTGGTTTTAAGAAACATCATAGAGTTGTTACAATGAGATGGAATGGATGCTGGGCAATTAAAAACTACTGCTGTCCAGGATAAGAACAGTATGAAAAATCTTAATCTCTGTTTATGAAGTTGAATGCTAATAACTGGCATGGTTTCTTCCTCGGTTATAAAAGTATTCTAAGTTTGTCCTGTCCTCAAGAAGTCTGTAATCCATTTGAATGGAATAATAATCATGTCCAATAGCATACTTTGGATAAAACCACAGAGTTTCAATACAAGCAAACTCAGTGATCAGGAGTCTGAGAGCCCAACTGTCCTGCTGATGTGAAGCAAGACAACTAGCCTTCTACATTAAATAATTCTGTGATGCAATTTGAGTCAGTGGTAAATTTTAAGTACAGTGGAAACTTTTCTTGTGTTCCTTTTTGCCGGTTGAACTGGTACAGTTGTGTGTGCACTGGTAAATCAGACTCATTTCTGCACTACTACAGGAGAGAAATGGACACCGCTTTGAATCTGCTGTATTCCTTCCAGATCTGATAGAAGAGGTTCCAGGTGCTGAAAGTGATCAAATACACACAGGAACAGAGGCTTACTCTGCACTTAGAAGTATCTTTAAAAAAGCTCCTGATCAAGGAGTACACAGCATGGTCCTTCCTGTTGTGATTGTTGAGTCCTAGTAGGTGAGGTGTGGGTTGTTTCTATTAAAAATCCTTGTTGTATTGGGCACAGGATAGGCTAAAATTGGCTGTAGTCTTCTCAAGGTCAGTGAGTCAAATTGCAGCAACATGTGAAAAAGGCAGGCAAGAGCTGAGTCAGGAAAATAGACAAGTAGAGTAACTTCAGAAGGGCCAGTCATACCAATAGCCAGAATATGATCTGGAAAAATAGGCAGATTAATAAGGAAATTCTGTAAATTAGTTTTTACCCTGGGTACTCCAGGGTTAATCCATAGGGCTTACTCTGGATACAGTTTTCTGATCTTACAGAGCCAGTCAGGTCCATCAGATTTCAGTTTCCTGCTCATCTGCCAAAGAACTTTCAGCTCAGGAGAAGGCCTTATCCTCAAACAGACTTGAGGTTCTGTTTAAGAGTCTATGCTACATCTGGGAGTGACAGGGTCAGCAGAGCCAGGTTTGTCAAAGTTGGCCCTACTTTCTTTGGTAATCAAGGCGTCATCTTTCGTAACTCAGCCCATCTCTGAGAATCATCTTATAAGTCAAGGCCTCAGATTGGTTGAATGGTGCTGTTCAAAGATTGAGATGAAATCTGAGGCATGGAGATAGTAGGCAAGCTCCTAGGTTTAAGTTTTAGGTTGCTTTTCTAATCTCCAATTCTTATACACGATGTATATTTTAGACTCTTGAGCAGATGATCATCTTCATCTTAAGTCGTTCATTTTGACCGAGTATGGCAGGATTAGAGGGAATGGCAGTATAGATCAATGTCTTTTTCTGTAAGTACAAAAAAATTAGAGAAGGAAAAAAAGAGCTGACAATTTGAAGGCTGTAGAAAATTGAAGATACCTTCTTTACAAATAACAGTTGCAAATACAAGCAGGCTAGTCATCCAGATTTTATTTGTTGAGGGTGAGCAGTCTACAGCAACCAGCCGTAGGCCTTGTTTGATGAGATGTGGAGTCATGTAATCACAACTGGCCTAGAGAGAGACAAGGATATAAAGAAACTATTCCCAAAGTTTAACCAGTGCATTCACTGGAGTAGCTCAGGATGGCTGGTCTTTAAATTGGGGAGTAAAGGAATGACTTTTCTCATGATACACATCAAAGTCTCCTTGTTCAACATGATCTGGCTTGTGAGTTTATGAATGGAATCCTTCCTGCTGAAACAGATTAAGTTGTCTTAATATCTGTTACAATGCCTGCCTTAAGTATATTATGGCAAGAATGAAGTCAGCTGCTCTGAATCACTGTAAAATGATAGTACTAAGACTGATGTGGTTCCACAAAAATATCCACAAGGACAAAAGCTCTTAAGTCTACTGATAAAATCCTTAGCCGCAGTCTTCATAAATTTTGTTTTTCAAATCAGTCTGTTTCCAGCAAAAAGGCAGGTAATAAGCTACCTGAAATACCCAGTGAGTAAGCTTATCATGGCCTGCTCAAAGAGCCAGCCTCCAACTATACCTACCAGCTATTGGTGGTGGTAACAGGCATCAAAAGATCCATCTTAAAAGAACACCCTCAGCACAAGACAGAGCAATTAAAAAAAAAATCTCTTATTGGCTAGAAGCTTTTCCAAATTGTTGTATTTTAAATCACATACCAGAAGGGGTATTCAAAGACTGTCTCTTGAAGATCAGCTGTTAGGAGTTGAGTAATAATTCTGAATAGGCAGATATGCCAGTGATGAAAATAAAGGAATTGTTTCAGCTTTTTTTTTTTTTTTTAAAAGGTTGTTAGCTTGTTTATCTTGGAAACAGTAGTTAAACTGAGTAAAAACCAAGGGACAGTGTGTAACTGCTACTGGTTGAGTCATACAGTGATGTGTAGTTTGGAAAAGATGATGAATGATAAACAGATATTGGGTCCCTTTAGGAACTGTTGCTAGTATTTGAATTCTGCTTTCATAGTTTTCTCTTGCACGAAGTAGAGTACCATGGCTGATGACAAGAGGTCGAACGTACAAGTTGCTCTAATATGGCCTCAATGAGGCACCAGCTTCAAAACCCGCTTGCTGGCAATTCAGGTATCCATGGAGGGTCAAAACTTCAAAGTCATGTACTTCAAGTACCACATCTGGTGTTTGTGAATAGAAGTTGTTTAAGGGAGTCTGTCAGTGTAGAGCACGTGTAGAATTGTTCTCTGGCTATATCCCATTCTAGGAATCACTGGATATCCCTCTGGAGCGGAGGGCTGTTAACCTAGATTCCCTTGACAGCACTTTCCGCCCATGACCATTCCTGGGGTCAAAGACATGCCTGTCTTCTTGCACTTTTCTAAGTTTGCACACAGTATTTCTAAGAATGTTCAGCATCAACTGAACATGAACTATGCTGAGTGGAGGTACAGAAGAGATTGGAATGCCATTCAGGTCAAACACATCGCTGTCTAGAGAAGTGGTTTTCAAATTGTGTTCTGAAGAGTTCAAGGTGTTGTAAGGAAGTCCCCTTAGGTGTCACCACGGTGGTAAAGGAAGATAGTTGTAGCAGGCTTTAGGCCCCTACTCCTGCTTCATTGCTTCATCCAGAGCAGCTTCACTTTTACTCTGGGCTTCTACAACGTTTTCACTCAAAGAGCTTCATGGCCACAAAGCCTTTGGAAAACCAATGATCTAAGAATAAGTCGTTCACAAAATGCTGAAATACAAAAAATAGGTCACAGAAAGCAGAAACTGTAAGCAAAGCCTGTGGTAAAACAAGGTGTTTTTCTATTCATTTTTTCCCCAATACAGACCACATTACAGGTTGATGGAGTGAAAGCTCATTTGCTATAAATTTTGATTGCCTGCAGTTGGGCTTGTAAGTAACTATCAGAGAACAAGGCTAATGATTTTCAGTTGCAATAGCATTGGGGTTTTTGCATGAGATTGAAAAATGCATCCATATCTTTGTAAATATTACTCTAAGAAGTCCATGGCTGGATGACTTCTCAAGCAAAGTCTCAATGGGCCATAACTCAAATTCTGAAATATCTTCTCACCCCTTCCCAAACTCCTTACCCATCCGAGATGCAATGCCCTTAAACTAAAGTTATGGTACAATTCTAGGGACACAGAAGTATACTGCTAAATATCATGGAATTTATCCAATTTGGGGTGAATTTACTTTCCCCCATTCCTTTCCTGTCTCTCTATACATATCTTCTAGAGATTCCTTTGACAGAAAATAAAGGTAATGGTCAAGATGGAGGACTCTCAAATGACAGACACAAATTAATTCAAACAGTTAATAACAAGATATGAGAAAGGGGGATTTTGAAGATGCTGTTTATTCTGGGGTGTTCAGGGCACTCTGTTGGCAATCAGGAAGCACTGGCTATACTGCTCTAAAACAGTTTTTGCATTCCATTAGATGGAATGATGCAAAAAAGACCCTTCTGTGTTTGATTACACTTAGGACACAATGGGTTAAAATAGCAAAATGGAACTATTTGCTGCAAGTCTTTTTTAAAAAAACTAGATTTCTGAATTTAAGCATAGAAGCAGAAGTAATTTGCTGCAAGTCTTCTTTAATACACTATATCTCAATGTAAACTGGTGGAAGGGACATGTCTTACATATTTTAGTCTTACTAGGTAACAGAAGCTTTCTCCATGTCATTCACACACACACACACAGAGTATTGCCTTAAAAAAAACAGGCAGCTCATTTAAATATTAGTTTGCAGAGAGTGGACCACAGATAAGCTTTTAGGGCCCAGGAGTATTAATAAGTCTTAAAAAATCTACAAGTAGCTTTTTGTTCCATGTTGGGTAGCTTTGTTGTTAGAAAATGTCCCTTTTTGATTTGATAATCTTCCACCATGGAGATAGTATACCCCTAAACCTTGGGGATATCGCCATGGGATTTTGGTCTAAATGTAGCTATCACAAGGTCACACTTATTACATTCTGTGTGACTGGGGGCACCAGATCAGGAAGCTGGAAAATTTCCTGAGGTTCCCAATACCCAGCCATTTTAACACTGGGTAAAGTGGACGCTAATTCCAAGCAGAGTACTGAACAGGGAGTCAGAAAGCCTGGCCTCTACCACTTTCATAACTGTGTCACTTTGGATAACTGCTTAACTTTTAAAATTTATATTCCCTCATTTGCAAAAAGTGATTATAATTCACTGTTACTTTGATAATTGAGATAAATTTATGTACAAGTGCTTTGAAACTGTAAAGTGCTATATAAGAGGGGATTTACCATAGAGGTTCTACCTTGATGTATCAAGAGAAGCCTTTTCTGGAATCTGATGCAGCCTTGTGAGATGCTGTTAGGTAAGGGGACTCCCTGGTAGAATTTCTCACATTTGTGTAAAAAGTTCTGGTTCCTGAGTAATTCCAAAGAAGATGCTATGAGGAGTTCTCTGTGCCCTTGATTTGGTCCCAATGGGTCAGAATATGTTTTCTCATTCAGTAGGCTAGTACAGGATTTGAAGTAGGAAAAAAGAGGATGCAGTGACCTTCATGGGATCCCAGATGTTCATGAATTTCAATCATTTGAGATTGTGTGGTACGGTCCAATGCTGTTCTCAAAAAGATGTTGCCTTTCTTCAAATAGCATTAATAACTAAAAAAATCCCCTGGTCCAAATTTATGTGTGTCTCTGAAGGCTTTAACCGAAGAAATTCACACTCATGGAACAAACTAGGCCTTTGTTGTGATAAAACAGCTTTAGCTATTTGGCTTGAGGACTCTGACTTCACTATAAAGGGCTGTGCTGAATCTCGGTAGAACAGAACAGGAGTGGAGGTAAAGGCCACATCATGATGGCTGAATGCCTCCTGAGTCACAGTGGTCCAATGGAATGGGTGTCTTCTTCAGTAGTAAGGTGGTAGGAATCATCTTCAGCAAAAATCCAGGTACCAGGTCTGTAGGGTCTGTAGGCTGATGGAATAGCACAAGGAAGGTAGTCAGAAGGTCCAGGTGAACACTCAGCAATCAGGAGGCACAAGACTAGAATGGGCAGGGATAAAACAGGTAAGATAACAAATGCATGGAATTACAAACACAGGACTCTAAGTGGGTCTGCTGGGAGCACATCAGCAGCCTGATGGCTATTAATTCTTGATGAGCCTGGCTTAGGCAATGACAAATGATAAATGAAAACAAACAACAACAATCCAAAAAAGAAAACAAAAGCCTGATTGTTGCAAAGTGGCAAACAAACTAAACTTTGTACTTTTGAATGAAGTAATTTCATTGGATTCAGGCTGCTGGGCATTTTTTTGATGGGGATGAGGAAGTGGCTCCACAAGTGGCATAAAAAGAACTAAGTTTATATACCAACAATAAAAAAAAAAGGAGATACTGCCCCTCCTTCTCTTCCAATGCTTTCCTCAAATTAAAAAGCTCCTTTTTAAAAAGCTGTCCTAGCATTCATCCTAGGATTCCATCTTAAGTAGGAGAGAACAAGGTCTTGGTCCTTCTGTATATAATACCCCATTCAACATATTGGTTTCTCCTTATGTCTGAGGGAGCCCTAGATCTTTCAAAATTTACAATTAAAAAATAAAACATAAAGAAACATGACCCATATCTAGAGACTTTTCTTCTCCTTAAGAGTAAGTTTAGTTAACAGCAATTAAGAAAACACCGACTGCTTATTCTGATAGCCTGCTCTCTAAACTCCTCCTTCCTAATAAATGCTTCATAATATGCTGTGCTGTATATGGGCAAAGATGCACTAAACGAGGACCCTAGTTTCAAGGAGTCTGCTATCTGCAAAGACAGCAAATGCAGGCAAGTAATTATTTTACAGGATTTTTGTATACAAAGAAAGGATACATAAAATGTCATAAAACTTAAAAGTTCCAATCTGGCTAGTTAGGAGACTCATGGAAAAGAGAGCATCTGAGTTGGATACCGAGAAAATGGCAGAATTTTGACAGATGAAAAGCCAGAGAGGAGCCATTTCCAAAGTAGAGAGAATGAACAAAAGTGCAGAGATAGTAAAGAATAAGGCATTTTGGAAAATGGCAAGTACCATAATTCACTTTGGATGGAGCATCCTCAGTTTGCACTGAGGGTCTGGACAGAAACTCAGGTCTTCTCTAATTCCCAGTAACAGAGCTGGTGGTAGTGCTTGCTCAGTCGTTGTCTCTTTTCTTACAGCAAGGTCAACAGTCCCAAAATTCAAAAATTAAAAAAAAAATCTACCTTCAGTGTTCCTGCCACATCCTGACAAGCTCTTTCAGGTTCCAGGTCCAGTTCTTGAAAATCTGGAAATCTGGAGTCCATGGCTGTGGCTACACTGAAAGTTATCTGCTCCAACTATTGCAGAACACTGTAGTGAAATCTTCTCAACATCCAATTCTGAACATCTCATGTTTTGCCACAAACTTCAAGCTTTGAGTTCCAGTTGTCTTTTTTTCCTCCTTTCTGCTGAGGAAAGCATCTTATCACCACAGTCTTGTCTTTTGAGGTACATCCAGATTTAACTACAAAAGAGCTAAAAGACCAACAGGTTTTTTTTTTTTTTTTCCTCCAAAACAGTCATTTCTCTGGAAGTGAGATTGTCTTTGCCCTTTAGGAAAAGGGAATAGTCAATTGATTTTTTCAGACATTTGAATGAAATAGCGTAACTGGCTAACATCTAATCAGACAAAATACACTTAAATGTGTTTGTGTTCACTTGCTTAGAGCTGTACCACTTGGTGAGCACCACTCCACAAAATGCAAATGTTTGTAATCCAATTGTTAAAACATTTCATAGTGTTTGTTGGATAATGGGCTGAAATATGATAAAAGCAGCTGCAAATTAACAAAGAAGCAAAAACTGGCATCTTGGACATCTTAGTATTATACTTGCAAGCAATTAGAACACATGGAGGGCCAAGGAAAAAGTTAAGCTTTCAATCACTTCCAAATCTACTGATTATGAGGTTCTGCAGTAGTTCTAACAAAACTTTTCAGAGAATGTTAACCTTCAATTAAGAAAGAAAAAAAAACCCCAAACATCTTCAGGAATTCTGTGCCTGGTTCAGTCTCTTCCAGTGAGCCCGCTCGCCAAAAGTCCACGTGCACCATTAATTAGCCGGGCTTGGCAGCACCATGTAAAAAGAAGCCTATTCACCACCAACCACACAGACTAGACACACGAAGTGGGATCAAGTAATGGATGACAACCATGGTCGTGGAAAATGGTCAATGAAGAGTAAGAAAGGTAGTCAGGCACCGGTACAAGAAGCAAAAAAACTGAGTTGCCGGACCAAAGATTAAATAGGCTTATTTAAATAGGATGCTACAGAACACATCCACTCCTAATTGTAGCTGCTTTACATTGGGTGCCATTGTACCATATGCATCAGCCACCATTCAGGCACCCCATGGTGAAAGAAAAGGATTCAGAATAGAAGCCAAGCAGGGGACTCTTGTTACCCCGAATATCCATTTATGCATAGAAACAGCTCACATATCCCAGGGACTCATATAGGGGCTTCAAATTGGTTGTGAAGGGTCCCAAATGACATCTAGGCCTCAGTTTCCTCTCTGTAGCATGAAGAAATTGTGATTCTTAACTCTTCTGAGTCACAGCTCCCTTGGAAAACTTGATAGCGATGGATCATCATTCCCCTAAAACGCACATTCCCACAATTTCAGGGAGTTTGGGGATCCCCAACTCCAATCCAAGATTCCCAGGTTCAAAACCCAAGGACTGGGCGACTGCTAAGTTTTCTTACAACTCAAAAAAAAAAAAACATTACAAACAATAACCATCCTTTACACACACCCACGCTTTATAGTTTACAAAGCGCTTTCAACCCACACACATTGATAGGCAGAGGAGGAAACTGAGGCGCAGACAAATTACAGAGTGACTCGCCTAAGGTCACTCGGCCAGCTGGTGGCTAGGCCCGGAAGCAAACCCAGCTCTTCCGACTCCGGAGCTCGTCTCCCCACCCCGGGGCTGCCGCCAGAGCTCCCACACCTCACTAAGGCGGCATAAGGAGGAAAAGGCAAAGTAGAAATCCCACAACCAACCATCCTCCAGCCCCCTCCTGCCCCCCCAACTGGGTCCTTGCAGGCCCCGAAAGGTGGCGCCAGGCCTCCAGGCCGGCCCCAGCCACCCCCGCCTCCCCGGCCGCTCCAAATCCCGTGGCCGCTGCCGCCGCCGCCTCCCCCGGAGCGGGGCGGAGCAGCTGCCCGCCGCCGCCGACCACCCTGACGACTCCTCGTCGAATCGCAAACGCATAGGCCGCCGCCCGAGTTCTGCGTACGAGAAGAAAGACGCGGCGCGAGCGCCAACGGCCACCGGGCGCGCGCCGCGGCGGCCGGGCCTGCGCCCCAAGAGCTGGATGCCAGAGCAGGAGAAAGAGCCGCCAACCGATCGCTCGATCGACCGCACGCCCGTTCCTTCGCCCTACCAGACCCGGGAGAGGGGGAGGGCGCGCCAGGGCTTCTTCGAGTTAGGGGCCTGACTCCCCGGCGACGAGACAAGATGGCTCCTCCGGTCCGCACCGCAGCTACCGTCCCGGCTGCGTCGCTCGGCCCGCCCCCGGTACTGTTTCTTTAAATGGCGGAGAGGGTCAGGAAAGCAGGAAGAGAGGCGCACGCTCTCACGTGACAGGGGCGGGACCGGCCAACCAAGATCCAGTCACATGGGGGACACGCAGCCCGCCAATCAGAAGGCTGTACATCAGGGCGGGGGCGGGAAGATCTGCAGCTTTACGATTGGCTGAATGCTCCGCGGAGGCCTCGGGGGTTTGGGGCGTCGGGGAGTGAGCGAGATGGCCAGGGCTGTGTGCACTAGCGGAGACAAAGCGGTGGCTGTGGTGTCTGTGATTGCGGCGGCAGAGCAGCTCTAAACGCCGAATTTCGTGTTGCTGCTGAGTCCTGTCACGATCTTATTCAGTGCGGCGCGCGGGCGGCGGCGGCGGCGGTGGAGGAGGAGGAGGCGGCAGCAGCACATGGTTCCAAGAGCGCGCTGAGGCTGTTGGGTTCCAATTCTGCGGGGAGGGACAAAGGCAGTTGTGAGCTCCGGGTAGTGCCCAGTTGGGTGGTGCGCCCTTCGCTGCCTTCGATCCTGTCCTTGAAAGCCGGGAGTAGCTCGTCTTCCTGAGGAGGCCGCCACGGGACCGAGGCCCAGGAAGGGCCTGGGAGGCTGAGGCTGTTGTCTGAGGGACGTGGGGGAGGGGCGCGCTCCGCCAGAGGTGCTCTGGGAGAGTCAATTGTGAGGTATTTCTGTGGGCCCCGTATGAGGAAATCTGACTGCCACCCTCAGCTGGGTTTGGTCAGGCTTTGAAAAAAGAAATCATCAGTTAGCACCTAGGAGCTTTTTCAGTTGGGAGGTGGTGAAAGCCTCACCTAGCGCCATATAACACTCCATCCACATCTTGGTCACCGGTCTTGGGCCTGTTTAAGGATCCTGGCATTACGTGTGGTGAAGATATGGCTGATCGGTTTTCTGATAGAAGTGGGTAAATTTCCAGATTGGTAAACATCCTAACAGGAAATTTAGGGGAACCAAAAAAGGCATGAAGAACATGAAGATGGAGCAGTCATAGACCACCCTCTCAAGGACCATCTCCAGGACCATCCACACCAGACTCAGATTGTCTGAATTGAGCTGTCGCAACTTAATGCTAAAAGCTCCTTAAAACTACGGATTTATGACATAGTTCTTTCCGAAATATTACATCGTAATCATTGAGAAGATTTAAGAAAAACCTGAAGAAATTGTAGTTTTAAACATTTCTTTGCATATATTTTGGATAGTTACTAGTTACTTTAACTGTCATTAAAGAGCACAGACTGAAGCTTTACTGAACAGAATCCTGGGAAGCGGATTTCATTTTAGGGTTATATTTCCCAGTTAGTGGGTGAAGGGCTGGAGGCAGCATTGCAGTCATGGCTTTCACAAATTACAGCAGTCTGAATCGAGCTCAGCTAACCTTTGAATATCTGCACACAAATTCGTAAGTATCCTTTAGGGGCCACTGAGTTAACCAGTAACTCGTTCCTTGATATTTATATGGAATTCATTTCCCCAGAAAATTTTGCTTTTTTGCTTTTTGGGATGTATCCCATTGGAGTGAAATGTATCCCTGGATGGCTTGAGCTCTGTATTGAAGAACTAAGATCAGTGAAATACTTGTTGCTAATCCAGAAGAATCTGATTTTTTGTTTATTGGATCAAAATTTTCTAAATGCAAACTTGAGTTATTTGAAGTCAATATGTTGAGTTATTTCATTCAAGTGTTTATAGGAATCCAACAAGTACTGCTCTATTGGATCACCAGGTGTTGGAGTGTTTTAGTATCAGCTGTTTCCTCTCTAGTGACAACGTCTTGAACAGGTTCATAACAAATCTTTACTTTCTAACAAGAAAACAGAAGACATTTAAATGACAACTTTCAAGAAGAAAATTTTTATTTTTTCAGCATTTGGCTTTATCTTCCTGGCAAATTGCTCCTACATCCAGTATTATTTGTATGTGATAAAGCAGGAAACCACAACTTGTTTAAAACCTTGATTTAGATAGTCCTTCCCCACAGTTTCCACAGAAACATACAGTATTCATGATTCTTGAGTTCATGACGGAGTAATCTCATCACTCCAACTTGGTCTGGAATGTTTCAGGTTTAATCCTTATATCCACTCTCTTGGAGGTTGTCCAGTAGGATCAAAACTTCTTTAGTGTTGTAATAACCTGTTACTTGTGAGATGAAGGTAAGTGTTCTACCATTCTAGTACCTCGAGAGGAGATGAGCAGCTACATGAATGGTCCAATCTCTGAAGAACCGCCTTCAGAGTTGAGCGTATAGTCTTCCATTATCTAATGATAGTACAATGGTTTTTAGCTTTTTATGGAAAAGATAACATGTTTGTGACACCATAATGTCTGCAATATTTCTGCTATTTTTCCTATAAAGGGAATAAAATTTTGCCAAGTAGTGAAGCAGATTGTCAGATGGTGAGAGCCTGGTTTCATTTTGTTTAGGAAGTTTGTTGTTATTTCGAGAGATGGAGTCTTGCTCTGTTGCCCAGGCTGGAGTGCAGTGGTGCAATCTTGGCTCACTGCAGCCTCCACCTCCCAGGTTCAAACGATTTTCCTGCCTCAGCTTTTCAAGTCACTGGGACTAAAGGAATGTGCCACCACACCCAGCTCATTTTTGTATTTTTTTAGTAGAGACAGGGTTTCACTATATGTTGGCCAGGCTGGTCTCAAAATTAGGACCTCAGGTGATCCATCTGCCTTGACCTCCCAAAGTGCTGGGATTACAGGTGTGAGCCACCGTGGCTGGTCTTAGGAAGTTTGTTACCGCACTAGATAGTTTTAGGGAAGGTACTGTAGCAGTCACCTAAGCTGAAATCTCACACATAAGTATGATGAACCTGAAATGCACTTAGATGAGGTTGCTGATCAGTAATTATTCAGCTAGTTCATAGCATAGCCTTGGGAAAAACCTTCAGTGTCCTTTTTTCTTATTTCAACTGCTGTATTAAGATCAAGCAGTTGAAGGCCACTTAAATGTTCATGGATGACTGTGTCTTATAAATGGTTATCTCAGCTCTAAATTTTGGAATGATGGCAAGTCTGGAATTACAGATTTTATGATGATCTTGGAAGACTATCAACTGGAGTTAAGAATTTAAGTTCTTGTTCCAGCTTCACCAAAGACTTTATGGGATAGTAAAATAATAGTAACTGGTTAATTGCTTCATGCCAGTCACTATTTTAAACATTGTCCGAAGCAATCTTTACAGTAAGCCTTTGGGGTAAGGATTATTTCTATTTTGCATGTGAGGAAACTGAGGTTCAAAGAGATTAAATTACATGGTAATGGTTATATAGCTGCCAAATGGCAGACTTAGGGTGCCAAGACTTAAGGCAGTAAGATTTATCTGGCCACAGCAGTTAGTGGTTTTAACCATTAGGCAGCGCCTACTTTAGTCAGTTTTACTTTCGTGAGCTTTTTTGCTTGTCTATAAAGGAAGGAGTTTACTTCACATTTTAAGTCTTCAATTTTAGTTAATCTCTAAGGATTCAGGGATATTTCTACCTTCTTTTTTTCCTGCTTGTTATTTTATAGCTTATTAATGATAGATATTTGGCAATGCCAAGGAAAATAAACCAGTTAAGTAATTTAAGTTAGGGAATTTTCTTTGACTTATCCCATGTTGAACTGGAACCACATGTTTGCATGAACATTTGAGGGTTAGGGTATCATTTTGGAAGCTCTGGAATTTCTTACCTGGATCACAAATTCAACCTTAGAAGTTGTTCTTTTTGATGTATTAGTCTTATCAGAAGAAAGTATAAACTCTAAACCACCAAGAGAAGTTTTCTATTTCTGACTAAGTTCAGGAGATTTTTAAAACATTGTGATGACCTAATTGGAAGCTAATTTATAAAGAAAATAAATTTTTAAATTGTCACATGATGTGGCTTGTAGCTCATAAAGATGGAAGATGAACCACCTCTGTAAAGTGGTTCAACAAGTCATCTTCAGAGAAGGGAAGATTTGTCTCACAGTATCTTCTTTGTTCTGTCAAAATCTTAGGAACACAAGACCATCTCGGGGTGCCTGACATCTGTAGTATTACCATATTATGAATTAGGAAGGAAATGGTCCTTTGCTTACTTTTCATTTAATGTAGACTTAGAAGCAGTGACCAGACTAGAAGGGTGGAAATCAGTGTGGTACAGGGAAAAGACCATGTGCTTGCAAACCAGCTAAACCTGAATTTGACTGTTTCCTGGCTGTGTCCTTGGGCAGGTGAACTTCTTGAGCCTCACTTTCTTCATGTAAAATGGGACTAATCTTAGAGACAGTTTTTACGAGGATTATGTAAAATGACTTTTACAAAGTTCTTAGTTCATGCAGTGGTACCCAATAAACACTGTGTGGATGGTGCTTGTTACTCTATAATATTAGTTTATATAAACCATAAGTTGGTCAGTGTGGTGGCAACTTGTTTGGTGCTAGTCATTAGGCAGGTCTGTTCTTAGTAAATTCTGGAGCATCTGTTGGAGACAGTGAATGTCCGTCTTTTTTCATATCAGGTCTATTTTGATGATTATTCTCTTGGTTACATCAGCTTTTTAAGGCTTAAAGCAGGCCTGGGAAATAAATTCTCATGATAACCTGAAAGTCTTGAGGTAATTTAATATCAGATGTTGCTAGTATTAGATGATAAAAGTTAGGGTTTTTAAGTAAAAGGAGTTTTTTTATGTGGTTGCTTCTCTTTGGTGGTGGGTTTTGTGACTGCCACTCCAGCTGTATATACATAACATGCATATATTATGCATCTACATATTAATATATGCATAATAAGTCACTTTGCAGTACTGCTAAATGGTCTAATAGAGCAGGATGCTTAGGTATAAGATGTCTACTATTTATTTTTGTTGGCACATTTAGTAACTTAACATCTTGGCTATATATTTCTGGGTTTTTATTTATTCATGTTTTTGCGATGGAGTCTTGCTCTGTTGCCCATGCTGGAGTGCAGTGGCGCCAACTTGGCTCACTGCAACCTGTGCCTCTCGAGTTCAAGCTATTCTCTTGCCTCAGCCTCCTGAGTAGTTGGAACTGCAGGTGCAGACCACACACCCAGCTAATTTTTTTGTATTGTTAGTAGAGATAGGGTTTCACTGTGTTAGCCAGGATGGTCTTGATCTCCTGACCTCGTGATCTGCCCATTTTGGCCTCCCAAAGTGCTGGAATTATAGGCATGAGCCACTGCGCCTGGCCCTATTTCTGGATTTTATATGTATGTGAAATGAATGTAGAGGAGTCTGTCAACTGAGAGATAGACTTAAATTATTTATTACTTTTAAGCCTGTTGAGTAGGCTCATATCCTAAATATATTAAAGCTATTTAAATGTAAAATGGTTGGTCCAGAATTTCTGTTTTATTTTCTAGCAATTAACTATTGTCAGCATGTGTAGGAACTCAGCAGAAGCTATCACAGTGTGTCATGGGCCTATGGATGATCTATTGCTTTACATTCAGGATGAATATAAATAGGAAGACCATTTTCCTTCTATAACAAGCTAATTTACATGTGAATTTGTCCCATGTTGAAAAATGTTGAGCTACAAAATTATTTTCTTTGTGACACAAGTGATATGAAAGCCATGATCAGGCAGGCAAGGTGGCTCATGCCTGTAGTCCCACACTTTGGAAGGCCGAGGTGGGTGGATCACTTGAGGTCAGGAATTCGAGACCAGCCTGCCTTGGCCAACGGGGTGAAACCCCATCTCTATTAAAAATAACAAAAAAATTAGCCAGGCGTAGTAGCCTGCACCTGTAATCCCAGCTACTCTGGATACTGAGTCAGGCGAATCACTTGAATCGGGAGGCAGAGATTCTGGTGGGTGGAGATCGTGCCACTGCATTCCAGTAGAGTGAGACTCTCTCAAAA